AACATGTAGAAGTAATACTGGGAGTTCTTTTTGATGAGTGATACTTGTTTTCCTAACTGCACACTGATTGGCACTTGTCAGTTGAAAACCAAGGACTTGTTTTCCTAACTGCACACTGATTGGCACTAGTTGGAAATATATAAAGCAAAACAAGAATTACCAAAGATAAGCAACATGTAGAAGTAATACTGGGAGTTCTTTTTGATGAGTGATACTTGTTTTCCTAACTGCACACTGATTGGCACTTGTCAGTTGAAAACCAAGGACAAAGTGAGCTACTCTGACCTCAGTCAGTCATTCAGAACCATAAATGTTTATAATGGTCTTACTTGTGTTTCATTTTATTTTAGATTCATTTTATCGGAAATACAACTTCTCTTTGATTTGTTATGTTCATTTTTGGGCCTTCCTTCCAGAGCCACTTTATGTTTCTTTTCACGATGAAGAATGGGGACTGCCGGCTTATGACGACCAAAATCTTTTTGAGCTACTTAGTTTATCAGCAGCATTGTCAGAATTCAGCTGGCCAACTATTCTGAACATGAGAGAGAAATTTAGGTTTGCGATTTTCTCTTCTAAACCTTCAGTTGAGACAAATGGAACCTTTGGGATTTTATAAACTTGAGCCTTAAGTTTATCTAACACTGCTTTCATCAGGAAGTTGTTTGATAACTTTGATCCCACCTCTGTTGCTAAATTCACTGAAAAGAAGATACTTTCACTTAAATCCAGTGGTAGTTTGTTATCAGAGCAGAAGATGCGAGCAGTTGTAGAGAATGCAAGACAGATATTGAAGGTAAAAGATCTTTATCTAGCTTTTAACTTTTAGCACTGTCATAGTTCTTTCCTGATGAAATTTAACCTCCGTTGCTTATTTATAGCTATAATATTAAATAGTAGTGGAAGAATCCTTAAACTTTTTACTTTTCAGGACAAATGAACATCAACAACACTGATCATTCTAGTTTGTTCATTGTTGTATCTCCGCTTACATTGGTCCTGATAAGTTGCAACAGTTTTAATTGAACAGTCAACCAAGTGACGGCATCTTAGCTGGCACTACTTCTCCAAATAAATGAAGTGACCTCCACATATACATGGAAAAGAAGAAGAAGAACAAAAACTCATGACCAAGTTTCTTCTTTATGAGAGAGAAAGCATTTCCTGTTTTCAACATGTCTGGCACTGCCACCTCTTACATTTTAGTAATATAGTTGCATGTAGATTTCCATGCATAACAAGCATAATTTCAGTATTCAACTACCTAACTAGTATCCCTCACCATCTAGCAATGTTTGTCCTCTATGGCAACTGAACATATTGGAAGAACTGTCGACTATAAGATACCTTTTTGCTGTTCTGTTTGGTATTATTTAAAAAGTTCCCGAGAAAGTCGTTCAGAATAGATGGTAGCTGATAAGTGCAACTTGTTGACTATTTTGCTTGAATTTTGTCTTCTGGGAGGTGATATTGTGTGCGACGACTTCGATAGTATATAATGCAATATGTTGATGAGGCAAGTGTTTCTCATGTATAATGGAAGATAATTTAGATCCTTTTTTCATTTAGTTGCTTATTTCAAGTTGACAATTGAATCGATCATGTAACTGATAAGTGCAACTTGTTGACTATTTTGCTTGAATTTTGTCTTCTGGGAGGCGATATTATGTGCAACGACTTTGATAGCATATAATGCAAGACGATGATGAGACAAGTGTTTCTGTTATATGTCCATCCTCCATTATCGAATCTTAAGTACAGTTGTGGTATATAATTTTAAGAACACCTTCTTAAATTGCAAAGATATATATTTCAGCTAAATGTGGTAAACATAATAGGCCAACTAGGTTCCTTCCTGAACTTTGATCTCAATCTACTCATGATGCATGCCTTTTAACTGCAGGTAATTGAGGAATTTGGGTCCTTTAGCAACTATTGTTGGAGCTTTGTCAACCACAAACCAGTTGTCAATGGATTCCGCTATGCCCGTCAAGTGCCCGTCAAGAGTCCCAAAGCTGAGATCATAAGCAAGGACCTGATGCGGCGAGGATTCCATTGTGTTGGTCCAACCATTATATACTCTTTTATGCAAGCAGCAGGAATTGTTAATGATCATCTCTCCAGCTGCTTCAGATTTACAGACTGCAACGGCTCATGCTACAACCAGTTGAACATGAAAGCAGAGGCAACTTCATTGGCCAAAACACTGAATCAATCGTGCACATTGCAGGCTTAAGCAAACACAGCGTTCGCTTAGCAAAGTTACTTCAGACAGGTAATGTTCCCTATGCAGTACTTCAAACACTGATATAAGTTGTGTGGCTCTGTGACAAAAAAAACAAATGATGTGTGCAGTTTGTAAGTCGTTGTGTGTGTCTCGTAGGATTTATCTTTTCACTGTCATATATGTATTGTATCATGATCACAACAAACTCTTTACCTTTATTTGTCATTGAATTGCAAGAACTTGTTATTACTAGCATCAGGTTGTGTTATCTATTATTGTCCAGTTTATGACAGTTCTTTCACTTGTACTAAATTCAGTTTATGACATTGCCATGAATGTTAAATGCAATGTGGGTCTTCAATTGAATATTTGCAATGTGTAATATATGAGCGCTTAATGAAGGTCGAGTAATAGTAGATACTGTTCATGTAATGTGGCCTTAGGATGCCTTTGAACACGGACCAGGGCCCATTTTATGAGCATTTTATTTATTTATATATAACGCCTCTTATAATAAATTGTTAAAGTGTTTTAAAGCTAACTACCACCTTTATCCTCAGTTAGAGACTATTCTTTTCCCTAAGCCATCACCTCGGACGACTCTTTTTCCTAAACCATCATCTCTAGAAGTAAAAAAATCATGATGCAAAATAAGCCCACCCTAACTATTCCATAGAAAAAACTCTCCGAGTCATTCCCGTGTTCTTTCTGATAGAAGATAAGAGAGGGACATGTTAATGTATTCAAGCTAAAGTTATTTCAATAAAGCTTCTTCACTTCTTCTTCAATAAAGCTTCTATAATAATTGTTCTTATTTTCCATTATTTTCCTCACTTTCTTCTAAGTCATCATTTTTACTCGATGTTGACTCGATTAAATGAAGAAATGAGAGTGCAGTAAATGAAACTTGAACGTTGGCGGGCGATGGGTTATGGGTTAAGTAGCGCTGTCATTGAATTGTGCACCGCCACAGTAGATATGGACATCATGTTTGCTGGTTGATAAGCTTAGTCATCGCCGTTACTACAACAGAAGAAAATATGATCCATTGAAAGAACTCCTAACGTTACTAAAATTAGAATCATGGTTATGATTACGATCAAATCGGATGGTTAAATAAAAAAAACTAAAAATGGTTATCTTAAAAATGACCCGATCAATTTTGGATAATCGATCTGATTTTATAAATATAACTAAGATTATTTAAATATTCTTTATTAATTTTTTTATTATTTTATAAAACCGAAGTCGAACTTTCTTGACATTCCAACGACGACATACGTACACTAAAGGGGTTCGAGAACATATGCGAGTCTCTTATACTATTTACTTCTCACGTTTATCCAAATCTTTTTTTTTTTTGTTTTATCTGTGTATTTCAATACGAGTCAAACAGATGCAATGTTTTTTTCCATGTCAGTTACCACTTATTATTTTATGACCATAGAAGAGCCTTACCAATTCAGCACTCACTACATAATCTGGAATATACGGATGGAAGTTTGAAAAGAACCATCGATTTATTTGCACACTGTTTATCTGTATGGATGAAAGAGGTTATTAACCTCTTCTAAAACTACCCACCCCTTTTTCCAAAGATATTTCTCTTCCTAGAAATCCACCTCATGACAATGAGATGATGGGCTCGCACCTCAACTTTGACTTGGCTTCGACATGCATGCATTGCACGTTCCTATGTTGCACGATATCTTTCTCGTTTTCTACGTGATAGCTTCTTCCATCTCTCCACGCACGTTACTTGGTCAAGCCGAGCAGTAACAAAGGCATAACTGTGCTCGGAATGAGAAGCTACACTGAGGCCCGCCAAACACGCTCGACTGCGGGGCGACGAGTGTGTCCGAAAGACCGTAAGATTCGCGATGGATGGAAGTCGTCATCAACGTAAGATATAATTGAACTTCGATTATGAGTTAGAAATTAAATTGGTTTACAAGTCTTATCTTTGATTAGGAGGTCTATGTTGGTGCCAAACCAATTCAAGTAGAAGAAGACTCTTCTGCCTAGGTTTATAAAATTAGGGTGCATACCAGCAAGGCAAAGGGAGGAGGGAGGGTTAGAGGAAGAAGAAAGGAGCAAATAATAAGGTTTCTTTTTCTTATTTGGTTTCTCTTCTCTCCTCTTTGAATTTTTTTGTGAATTTAATCTAACATGGTATTAGAGCCTACATCTTATTATTATAGAGAGAAATAAAAGAGAGAGGTTGTCTACCAAACAAAGAAGAAATTTTTTTATTAAGGAGAGAAATTATTTATAAAAAATAATAATTACAAAGAGAGAAATTACAGGTGCTTGTGACATTGACAAGGAGTAGATCCATCTCATCGGCATGACTCCCTCAAATAATCTAATCTAATCTTAGATTCCGTAAACTATGATCAGTAGTGCATGATGAAGTATATTGAAAGCTTATCTAGGCAAAGTCTACGTACGATATAGCTCACCACCATTGACAATCACCGGTTAACTAAAGAATGAAAATAAGGTAGTCTGTATTTTAAAGTTCTAATCAGCTTTTGGCTTAAAAAAACACAATTCTTACAAAAGAAACTCATGAAACATTGTTGTGCTCCTTTAGAAATATAATATTTTAACACTAACGATGCTTCTTTGGAAATATAATAATTATATTTCTCTCAGGAACTTAATTATGATTTCTTAAACGAGCACCACAACTTGTAGCTCATGATACTTATTGCTCATGATAATATAATAAGCTCATTATACTTAATTACCATTGTTGCTTGAGAAATTTTCTTGTGATTTGGAAATACATTAAGTTTCCATCTTCTTTGAACCTTCTTTACAACCAAATGAGAATCTAATGGCTGTGTGACTTGTAGTTAGTAAAAGTTTTATCATCTTATAGAAACCGATTTTAAAGTTATCCGATTTTGATTTTCACTGTTTGTTTTATTCAGGTACTACACATTGTGATGAGCAAATGAAGAATTATTTTGATAATAATATGACATACTTGAATATTGGAGACTATAATTTTTTTTTTTGGTCTAAAATTGATATTGTTGATGAAAGAATGTGAGTCTTTTTATATAACTAACTACTATTTAGGTATCTCAACTATTGTTAAGTGTTAATTATATATAAAACATCTTATATATTATTACAATTGTCATCCATAAGGCAAAATATTATCAGTTATTGTTGTTTTAAAAAAGATCAATTTCTCCTACAGTTTGTTCTATAAAAAGCATGATCTATAACCACAGTTGTTTCAAAACAAAAAACAAAAAACTACAATTGTTGATTGCAAGCTTGAAACTCCATTACTACGAATTGTTGATTGTAGGCCAAAAAGGTCTATTAGTACTGCATTTAAAGTAAAATACTTGCTCGCTCGAGAATAACCAATCCCTTACTTCATTACTTGGTCTCAAACTAAGACAAGCAAACATCACGATTTGTCGCTGTAGTGTGCCTACAATTAAACAAAATCTCCATGTTACATTTTTAATTTAATTTTGATGGTGTTAGATAAATTCAAAATTTTATCGATCTATAATTTTTATCATATCACCCTTTTTTTTTTAACTTTGTTACGTGTAAGAAATTCTTGGGGCCACGTATTTGGATGGAGGCTATTAAAACCTTATTTCGTGTGAAGAATATTTTATCTATTTTGTTGTCTATTTTTCATTCAAATTTTATCTAAGGCTAATTATATATTATCTTTTATATTTGGATCATATTAGTATCGTGATCCTTGTACTTAAAAAATTTATATTGGGATCTCTATAATTTTGAAAGTGAAATAAATAACTTAACTTATCCTAACGTCATCAGTTGCATTAGTAGAAACACAACAAGTCACACTACGTGCTAGATCGTCATAAAAATGATAGGTAAATAGATAATTTTAATATTCTTTTTACTTTCAATACGTGAGATGTTGAAATTATCTATCTCTTTGTCGATAAGATCGTCAGAAACAAAAAGGATATTAAAATTATTTTTTTGCTCATTATTTTCATATCGATTCAACACATGATATCACATGTGTTTTTCATCAATACAATTGACGTCGTTAAGACAAATAAAATTATTTATTTTTAGGACTATAAGGATGTCAATATAAATTTTTTAAATACAAAAATTATGATACTAATATGGTCTAATTAACTTTTTATCTACTTCACTTTATCTAATTTTATTTTTTTTTTCTTCTTAATTTTGCTAATGTTGGAGGATCTTCCTCACATTCGGAATGTATGTTGGGGTGGTATTCCAATATTACCTTCACGAGAGGTTCGAAATACGTGTTAAGATAATGAATCGGGCCTCCGAATTCTTTTAGATCATTCACTTTTAATTTTATTTGTATATTATATTTGATTCCCGATTAGTTTAAATCTATTGTTTTAACAGAGGGAAAGGTAAGCAAACGCAAAAAGATACGACGACTTTGGAGCCCTATCGAGAATATGGAAAAGGCTAACTCATATAATTTGTTATTAAAAGCGGGCGAGTGCAGAGTGGTTTGGCAGAAAGGGAAGTCCACATACAGCTGCAGGACCTCAATACCGGACAAAATCACCTTAAGTTGGTATGACCCAACCCCAACCCCAACCCCAACCCTATCCCCAACCCCAACCCTCAATGGCCGTGAGGTTGACCACCTTAAGTTGGTATGACCCAACCCCAACCCCAACCCCAATCCCAACCCCAACCCTCAATGGCCGTGCGTCGTCAACCTCTCAATGGCCGAAGCTTGCGTTTCTTTCAGGCATTTCAACACGCATTGCAGATTTCCCCTCGCGTCACGCGTCACGTGTCGACTCTACCAAACATATCCATTCTTGTCTTTTTCTTTTTCTTCCGTGCCAAATGTTAAATCCATCTCGAGCCAAACTACGTTGATAAACGTAACTAAAGGCAAAAAGTTTCTCTAGTGCGGATTGAAAGCAACTCTTCCACCAAACCTCGGTGAACAAAACCAGAACAAGCATCGTGGACATACTTCCTCGCTTTCACAGGGATTGGAGGATTCTTTTCTTCAACTTTTTTATTCTTTATTATATATTTTTTTTTTAAAGTTAAGAAGTAAAATTTATTTAAATATATTTGAGTTTGATGAGTTAAATTTGGAGATAGATTTAAGAATGACATATATTTGGTTTCTTTTACCAACGTTTTTTGTCAAAAATAATATTACTAAAATTTTATCAAAATTCTGAGAAAAACAGATGAACAAAGAAAATAGAGAAGTTTTTATGATTTCGTTTATTTTGCTTAATTCCTTTTTTGTTTATCTGAAATGTCTTCATATTCTTTACGATCATGATCATTCTCATTCTCATAGAAGAA